CCTAGAAGTGGTCTGCACCAAGGAGCAGTGTATGAACACCCACTCCCTTTTTCTGGACACCATCCTCCCATCAATCCAGCCTAAGGCAGCATTAGGTTCTTAGCAGCCTCATTAAACTGGTGGCTGTGTTGAAGTTAATTCGCTCCAGTGATTTTTAACTTGGATAGCTTTTAAGTTCGTCTCTCCATCAGCTATACAAGTCATTGATTATTTGAATCAAAATGTCATTTATCTTTGTTAAAATTAATCTGGTTGATTTCACCCATGATTACAACCTGTTAAAATCCTTTTGACTCTTAAAGACCTCAATTCATAGTCACTCTGTCGCTTAGAAATTTAAAGAGCTTGCTTAAAAACCAACAGCAGTAGCCTCACCATCCGCATCATCATCACCATCATCACCATGATTACTATGACAGGAGCCAAAGGGAAGACGCTTAGGAAAAACAAGAATTGGTTGGTGTGCAGCGGTCAAAGGAAGGCTTGAACAGCTCAGCCACAGGAGAGGCAAAAGGGAAGCTGGTCCTCAGGAAGAATTAGGATAGGAACTCCAACTCCATCCAATAGCTCTTCATGTCTCATCTCTTTCTACTGCCTCCTGCTTCCTCTCTCACTGCAGTCTGGCTTTTCCCCAGGGCAGAAAGCATGGCTGCCAACAGCTCCAGCACTTTAGTTGTTATAGTTTCAGTTCCTTTGAAAGAGATTGATCTGGTCTCAAGGGTAAAAGTCCAGGGAAGGGAAGGGAAGGGAAGGGAAGGGAAATGGAAAAAATTGATTGACATCATTAACCAACAGTGGAAATGCAATTCAAAACCAAAACGAGATACCACACCACACCCACTAGGACAGCTAGAATCAAAAGACCAGTAGTAACAAGTGTGAGTGAAGATGTGGAGAAATTGGAACCCTAATTTATGGCTAGTCGGATTGTAAAAGGGTACGGCCACTGTAGAAAACAGTTTAGCAGTTCCTCAAACTGTTAAACATAGAGTTACCATATGAGTCCTAGAGAAATGAAAACATATGTCCACATGGAAACTTGCCCATGAATTTTCATAGCAGAATTGATTCATAATAGCCAAAAAGTGGAAACAACCCAAATATCCATCAACTGATGAATGAATAAATAAAATGTGGTGTATCTGTACAATGAGATATTATTCAGCCATAAAAAAAGAATGAAGTACTGATATGTGCCACAACATCGGGAAACCTTGAGACCTTAGCACATTATTCTAAGTGAAACAAGTCAGACACAAGAGGCCACATATTGTGTGATTCTGTTTATATTAAATGCCCCAAATAAGGAAATCCATAGAGGCAGAAAGTAGAGGAATGGTGGCCTAGGGCTGAAGGGTGGGGTGTGGAGTGGCTAATGGATGCTAGGTTTCTTCTGGAAGTGATGAAAATGTTCTAAAATTAGACTGTGGTAATGGTAGCACAATTCTGTAAATACTCTAAAAACCATTGAATTGTATGATTTAAGTGGATGAATTTTATGGTATGTAAATTATATATCAATAAAGCTGTTAAAAAATGAATCCAGGAAAGAATTCATTGACCCAGCTGGAGTCAGATGCCCTATTCTGAACCTACTAACTGTGACCAGTGGGAGCAGGGACATCAGGGAAGGCTTGTAAGAATGTGGCAGCTCCTCTGAGACCCAGCTCCTCTGGACAGAGTTTATGTCATAATGGGGAGGGGAGGGGTATAGTTGCTAAGATGGGGCAGGGTATTAACAGACAAAACAATAGGTACCCACCACTCTGGCTATTTAGAGAGAATTTATATTTATTCAGACACAGCATCAAGTGCTTCTTCTGAATTATCTCATTAATTATCACAACAACCCTATAAGTTAGGTATATAAAATCCATTTATATTGGTGGAGGCGTAGGAGAAATAACTTTCCCAAGGGCACTGAACGATTTCATAAGTCACGTGGGGCCAGGGTTCAACCCCCGCATCTGACGCCAGTCTCCTCTTCAATCATTAGGCCACGCTGCCTCCTTCTGGCCTGATAAATGTCATTGAAAAATTCTGGAACACACCACTGGAGACCTAACTTTAGATCCATTCTTTATTTCACGTACTTATTTACTCTTTCAATGAAGGAGACCCTTCTAACATGAAAGCCAGGCACTTCCTTTGCTGGCCATCACTGGTCATCTTTGAGAAGGGCCAGAGGACCAGGGATGGTTGTCCAACCCCTGCTCACCACACTGTGACCCATAACTCACTGCTCCAGCTTGTCAAGGGTACAAGGAACTGGGACAAGAACACATCTTGCTAAAATCACGAGGCAATCGGTCTGTAGCAGTCTCTGATCCACCAGCCGGTTAACCCTCTCAAAACAGGAAATAAGATTAATTTGGCGAGAGGCGTGCTTAGTGAACCAGTGCAGCTTATTTTCCAAGTGTTCGCAAGCTGTCCACTTAATAATCTGCTCTCAAATTCTGCCAGCAATTGAATGGCAGGATTGATGGATGCCAAGCCTGCTGGTCTGTGGTTTCTCAGACCTTCTTTCCCCTTCTTTAAAGCTACTGATTCAGTAGTTTTCCATCTCCAGTCTCTTGGTATTTCTTTTCTGCATCATGATTTGTCAGTGATCACGGGCAGTGGTTCTACAAAGCCATCTGTACCTTCCTCTTGTCTCCTGGGGCAGGATCCAGGTGGGTCTGTGATGTGAATCCACTGAAGACAGCAGGGGCCCAGCCTGCTCTCCCCTCCCCTATCTCAAGTTCTGGATCCTTTTTATTCCCACTTTCCCAGCCTTCCCAAGATAAAGCATGTTCTTCTCAGTGGAGAAGGCAGACAGCGTATGGTAGTCGAGTTGTTCTGCCATCTCGCTGTCATCTGTTACCAGCAGACCATCTGCCCAGCAGTGGGCATAGCTCTCCTTCCAGTGGATAAAACAACCTTCCTGTTGTCCTTAGCATTTTTCACCAGCCTTAATCACTGATATGCAGCCTTCCTGACACTGTTCTTACCTACCCCTGCCACACTTCATTTTCCCGATGGTCATGTGCCCAGCGTCCACCTTTCAATCACATCATCTGAAAATCCCAGCTACCGTGATTCACCCCTAGGGGCACCCGCTTTTCTTCATCACTGGGATTATTTGAACTTGGAACAATCAGCTTCTCAGCAACAGAGACCATGGTTTTCAGAATGCCCAGGTAAAAGCTATAGTATTACTGTTCGTAGAGCTGTATATATCGCCATAGGATTATGACCTAGGTTACTCTTATCTTCATTTTCGAGGCAAGGAATCTGAGACCCAAAATAACATTCCCCCAAGGTCACGCAGTTATTCTGTGCTGGAGCTGGTCGGATCTGGTACCCGTGTTGTCTAACTTCAGGAGCCAAGTTCTCGACGACTTCACTGGCGGCCACTCCTGAGCATCACAGCAGAGAAGGCAACCCTAGCACCAAAGTTCCCAGAAGGAGCTCTTGCAGGCCTTCATGTCAGTGGCCTGACTGAGACAGCCTGAGCCAGGACAAAGGGCCTGGACACTGACGGAGAGGGAAGGCAGCCCTCAGAACAGGAGCCTACTTCATAGGATGTTGAGAGGCTTAAATGAGATCAAATACATGTCAACCATGGGCACGTCCTCAACAAAGCCCTTAGGTGTTTGGTAGGTGAGGACTTCTCAGTTCAGAAACGGCTCCTCATCCGCTTCCACATCCTCTCTGGACCCCAGGACACCTTGGAGCCTCCCAATTTCAGTGGCAACAATCCCTGCTCATCCTAAGCCTGCTTCTGCTCCAGACACTCAGAGGGCACAGAGGTGGGGGAGACGGTGTTTCTGGCTTTGGCCAAAGGAGTCATCACAGCTCTTTGCTTAAGATGACCTTTAAATTACCTCAATAAAGAAGAGGCTAAGCACTTAACCGCGTGGAGCGTATCATATTGATTGGAGGAGAGAGGCTCTGGCCTGTCTGCCCGGGAATGAGCGGGAGCCAGGCCAAGCCGGTCCCAGGGGGCAGCCGCCGGGGTGTGAAGTACTTAGAGTTCCTCTGAGTTCTGAGAGGAGCCGGCACTCTCCCAAAGTGCCTTTACAGCTTAAGGGGCTAAGTTTTGGAGCTCATGGTCCCCCTCTAGGACGGTGTGGGTAGTCCAAAAGAGGTGAGAGCAAGAGGAGTGGGTTTTACTCCCGGCTGTACCCAAACATGGGCAGTCCACTTCGTCTCTGAGCCTCGGCCCCGTGTCTGTACAGTGGGGACCAAGGGACCAAGTTCATGGGGTTCATGGAGCTTATGTGAGGCCAGTGTGTAAAAGTGCTTTGTAAATTACACATCTCCACGTGAACAGAATGCGGCTTATTATTCGTTATTTTTATTATCATAAATGAAGTCGTGTTGTTCTTCTGCTTGAGACTCAGCCATGGCTCTTCTTTGCACTCCGGATGAAAATCATCCTCCACGTCATGGCCCACTGGATGCCGCATGGTCTGGCCCCTGCCTGGCCCCCGCCTCCTGCCCGCATCTCCTTTTGTAGAACTGCCCCTCCTGCCCTGTGCAGCAGCACCACTGGCCCTTACGCTGTTCCTAGTACACACCAAGCCTCTTCCTACCTCAGGGCCTCCATACTTTCTGTTCCCTCTGCCTGGCACACTCTTCCCCAAGTGTGTTGCATGGCTGGGTTCTTCACCTTCAGATCTTAGCTTATGTTACCTCCTCGGAGAGGACTTACCTGACCACACTCCTCTGACCAAGCACAGCACCCATCTCTCTTCTCTGCATAGAAACAGCCACGGGTCACAGTGTTTTTATGTAACCGCTTCAGTGTTTATGGCCTTCCCTTTGTAGAATGTTGGCTCCGTGAACATAAGGATCTTGTCTGTTTTGTTCACTGCTGGGTGGTATCAGAGTACCTGGCACACAGTAAACATACCAAACAGTTGTTGAATGAATGAGTGGGCGAACGATTGGCAGGGAAGCCTTTGTTTCCCAAATGGCCCCTCTTATACCTGCTTCCCTTTGTCTCTGTCTCTCAGATACGGAGACATGGTGCCCAAGACGATTGCAGGGAAGATCTTCGGCTCCATCTGCTCCCTGAGTGGGGTCCTCGTCATTGCCCTGCCAGTCCCTGTGATTGTTTCCAACTTCAGCCGGATCTACCACCAGAATCAGAGAGCTGATAAACGCAGGGCACAGAAGGTAAGCCTGGGACCTGGGAGGGGGGCGGGCAGCACTGGAGAGGGGCCCGCCCTTGGCCTTGCGCAGCTGTCACGAGGAGTTCCTGGGAGAACCACTGCACTGAAGGCCTCTGGGTTGGGAAGGTAAGGCAGCTCTGGGTCCCTTGCTCCCTACCCGTGTCCTGTATTCCAGCCCCAGTCAGCCGCACAGGGCAGCAACCGCTCAATTACCCACAAGCTAATGAGCTCCCTTCTGGATGGTCTGTGCAATTTCCTTGGGCCCTGGCTCTGCAAGGCCTCAGCCACCAGCACAGGCAGTGCCCGGACTCCTCATCTCCCAGCCAAGAGCTTACCAAGGGAGCGTAATCGCTTTTCAGTGCCCTGTAATGGCCTATACAAAACATCGTGACAAAAATTAATTTGCTTAAAAAGAAAAATGGAATACTCTGAAAGGAGATGATTCTGCAGCACTGAGTTCAGGGACAAATGGCACAGCGGGCTTTAGTCCTCGGGGTATCGTGGGATGAGGCACGGAACTGCGCTCGATGGTCAGGACTGACCATCATCGGTCCTGAGGAAAGTTTTCAGTGACGCCCAGGGTGCACTGCTCGGGAAGGCAGGGCAGCGTGCGTGCCCCCTCGCCACAGGACGAGGAAAGACGTCTGAAGGCTTTGGTGCCTGGACAGAACCTCCTTTCCTAACCAGCCTCACTTTCTGTCCAGAGCAGCCCCCTCTCCACTCAGCCATCTGCCCTTCACCTGCATGTTTAGGGCCTCTGGCTGGCAAAGGTTCTTGGCCCAAGGGGGCTGTTTTTCATTTCTCTTCTGATCTGGGCTGAAGTACTCCCCCTTCAGTAGCATCTCAGCCTCCAGGGGGTACGGTCAGAGCCTTTCCAGGTATGACGGACGGAGGGACCTCGTTGAACGAGTCACTTACAGTGGCCTGAGATGTTGTGTCCTTCTTTTATTCTTTCATTTATTCATTCTGCACAATTTACTGAGCCCCTACTATGTGCCAGGCCTTACTACGCGTTGAGCTGGGTTATTTCCTCACCAGCTCCTGGCCTTCCACCTGCAGGGACAATCCCCAGACAGCAGGGCTTCCTCGACATATCAGAAGAATCCAAAATTTCAGCACAGATCTGTGTCTGCTGACCGAAACAAAGTCTCAAAGTGCATGAAAATTAGCTCTGAAATGCATATAATGATGCTATATACATTATAAAGTTATGTAATAAATCTAGCGGGTTCCCACTTCCAGTGTATCCCCTTTTTGTGCCCTCGGGGCCCCCTCCTGCTTGCTTCTGTCTCCCTCCGCCTGCGTGGAAATAGATTTTGCCTTATCTTGACCTGGGCCTGCGATGTTGTCAGCCTGCCTCTGCCCGATCTGCTGGCTCTCTGCTGTCCTCTCCATCCCCTCCCAGAACCATTTCCTCCCTCTTCACCCAAGGTCAGGGCTTCCCCACTCCCAGCCCCTGCTAGCCAGCCCAGAAATAGAAGTCTTATCTCTGTCCCTGTTCAAGTCCACTGGCAAATGTGAGCCGTATCTAAGTTCATTGTACAGTCCTAAAGAAAGGGGCTGGGAGAAACTGGGATCTCCTTTCCAAATCAAGGAGCCTGAGGCCCTGAAGGGCCAGGGTCCTACAGCAACCCCACCCGCTATGGGCCCCGGGCTCACACAGGTTTTTCAAAAAGCAGTGAGGTTCAGAGGAAGCCTCAGCTCACACACCCGCCCCCGGCTGTGCCCATCACAGCCCCACTCAAGCTGTGCCTTTCCTGCCCCTGCAGCTACCTTCCCGCCCTGGGCTCGCACCCATACCTACTTCTTAGAGCATCGCATCTGCTGTGGTTTTACCCCTGCAAAGAACATAACAGGGGCCATTTCTCTGCAGAACTTTGCAAAGCTCTTCCTGTGTGATTAAAATCCAGAAGGAATCAGCTTTGGTGACTTCCTCCCTCCAGCCCCTAAGAATGAGACTCCCTCCCTTCTGCTCCCTGTCCACCCTCCTCCCTCTCCCTCTTTGCTCTCCCTTTGAAATTAGGGTAAATATTTAGTGTTTTCCCCTCGCCTGGATACTGTCTCTTCTCATGCTTGCTCAGCTCTGTCTCTTTCACCTTGGGCTTCCTGTGAGAGAGGGAGAAAGAGAAACCAGGATACTGCCTGCTTCCAGCACTGAGTCTGTGGCAGCCAGGCAAGGAAGGCAGGTCTGTCTGGGGACTCAGTGGGAAGTGGGGAGGCGGCACAGGAAGGAGGTCAGGGGAGCTGATGCTGGTTCCCAGCCCAGATCACATGCTCAGGAGCCACGACAGTAAGCTGCAGCCCACAGGCCTCAGTTGCAAAGGAAAGGCTCAAAAAGTTGTCACCCTTTCCCATTGTGACTGGTTTGCTTGGGGTTATTACTAAAATGACTCCGCGACTATTTCCTTCAGAGCCTAGGTGCTCTGAGCCAAGTGAACTGGAGATCAAGTCAGAGGTCTAGCAGTGGACAGAGAGAGGGCAACATCTGAGTGGGGAGTTTTTAATGGAAATGTTTATTGAAATAATTGTAGATACACATGTAGTTATAAAATTATAACATCCAGGGTAATGATGCTGATACAACCCACCAATCCTATTCAGACGTCCCCAGTTTTACTTGTACTCGTGTGTGTGTGTGTGTGTGTGTGTGTGTGTTTGTGTAAAGGTTCATCGCCTATGCAGAAGTCATGCATCCCCCACCGTGGTCAAGGTACTGTACACCACAAGGATCCCACCCACTGTACCTTAAATAACCATACACCCCACATTCTCCCTCCACCCTGTCTCCAACCCCTGGCAACCATTTATCTATCCTCCCTTTATAAAGTGTTTTCATTTGCAAAATGTTGCTACCAATGGGGTTACACAGTAGGTAATCTTTGGAGACTGGCTTTTTTCATTTTGTGTAATTCCCGGAGCCTCATCCAAGTCACGTGTATCAACAGTCTGATCCTTTTTCTTGCTGAGCAGTACTCCATGGTGTGACTGCCTCACAGTTATGTTTAACTATTTGCCTGGTTATTATAAATAAAGCTGGGGTTAACATTCAAGTACAGGTGTTTTGTGAACGTAAGTTTTCATTTCTCTGGCATAAATGCCCAAGAGCACAGTTGCCCACTTTCTCTTTTGGCTTTTCCATTTCTCCTTCTTTCTCCTTTTCCTGCCCCTCCCAGGGCAGTTGCTGATATTCATGGCCCAAGAGCGCCTGCTAGCCAGACAGCTAGGAAGCTTCATCACAAAGGGCCTCTCAGGGACGGCAGAATCCTTGAGCTTATTAGTCTGTGCCTGGACCTCTACCCAGGGTGACAGCATCCTCCATCCAGACCTCTCCAACCCCGGAATCGCCACACTTGTTGAAAATGCAACTTCCTCGTCTTTGCTCATCCAGTTAAAAACCTGCCTGAGCGGAGTTGAAATTCAGGGAAGGAGGAGAGGGATGTTTTGGAAGCAGCATTTGGCCTGAAGGTTGGAAGACCTGATCCGAAGTCTTGCCCTGGATAAGTCGCTTCCCCTCATGTCCTCCATTTCCTTGTCTGTAAGATAGCCTAGGTGACCGCCACATCCTCTTTTAACTCTCCTCCTTCGTAGCCATGGGAGAGAGTGGGGCTGACCAGTCCCCACCAGGGTCGAGTGAGCCCATCACAGTGGCTTTATCGGCGTGGATTTCTGACTGACCTTGGAGGGATCATCTTCCTTCCTGGACCATCACAAGCCTCGCTAGACTGCATGCTCAGTGCAAAGCTCTGTGCTAGGTGCCGAAGACAAAAATATGCATAAGTCACAGATTCTGGCCCTCGGGAGCTCAAAGCCAAGCCAGAAGTCCTCACCAAATTGCATATGCTAGGTACTGTTCTGTAAATCCGTTGCAAAACCTTTTTTTCCTGTGTGGGAAATGATTAAACGATATCGTGCATTTGATATGACAATCTGTTGCTTTAATAGAGCCCAGGGTAAGATAAGATTAAAAGAAGTGCCACAAAGGAGAGCAGGAAAATCTTTCATCTCTAGAAAGTAATGAAGACAGAGCCCAGATACAAGAAAGGTCTGGCTCTAAGTGGTGCAATCAAATTATATAAGGCTCTAATGAGCTTGATACAATTGGATTTCCATATGCAGCTCTCCACACCCAGTATTCACCCAAAGCAAGAATAGCTACCTCCTCGAATGATGAAAAGCTTGCTTGAATATACGCATCTAGCTGAGGGGAGGGCGGGAGCAAGATTCCCAGGGAGGAGAATCGTTCTGGACCTTGAATGAATGATCTCTGTTCAGAGAGAGGAGGAATGGTAAGGCTTACTAGCCATCCTTTCTCTCCCAGCTTCCTCTTTTCGTGCTCCATCCAGGGGAGAGTTCTTCCTCAGGTTTACAGGCAGACCTTCCAGGCTGAGTACTGACTTCTCCAAATTTAGAAACCAGGGAGGGCCACTGAAGTGTCCCTGCAAGGACATGCTGGCCACAGGGGGACTTCCCAGGAGACAACAGATAAAGTGTGTTCTTTGTGCTTCTGTTGACAGCCTGACTCCAAGTCCCTGGCCTCCTTTTAGCAGATAAGCCAGTCCAGCAGGACACTTGGAGGGGACACTTCCCCATGCTGGGGAGAAGGTGACAAGAAATAGAAATTGCCACAATTTCCCAAGGACTCCTCTGTTCAGAGTACATGCTGAAGTTAAACTGGGCCTTTCAGAGGCAGGAGGAGGGACCCCCTGCCCCAGGTTGGGTCTGTGAGTCCGTCTGAGCTCTTCTGCCTCCAGTAGCAAGGGCCTGGAGTTGGGTCCAGATCGACAAGAGCCCAAACGGTCAGCTGCATTTTTTTTAAACCAGCAGAAACCCCTCTTATCAGTCCTTTCTCCTTCCCTCCCAAAGCCTCTTTCCTCTTAGGCTTCACTCTGTGGTTGTGCTGCTGTCATGGTGACACTGATTATGGTCATTAGGAAGGAGAAGAGAAGCCAGCATGTGCAGTGTGTCCAGCCTCTCCCACTGCCTCTGCAAGCAAGAGGGAGCTTGTGTTGAGATACCAAGCAGGCTTCCTGCAGGACACTGCTGAAGCCTTCCCAGGTTGGAGCTGGGGAGACTTTCAGTGGTCATGGCGGAAGCCAAGGTGGTGTACTGAGATGTGTTCCATCCTCCCCTCTCTCACACATACACTGGGCCCCCGGTCACATGCACATGCACTCATTCCTGTGGACGTGCATAAAATATACATACACTGACACATCCATACATGAATCCACTCCCAAAGACAGACATGCAATTGTAAATTCATTTAAAAATTTACAAATTACTAGGCACTGGGGGTGTATCAGTGAACAAAACAAAAACCACTGCCCTCGAGGAGTTTATAGTCTGGCTGGGGAGAGAGACGTTAGTGAGATAAATATATAAAATATATACTACCTTAGTAGTAAATGCTGAGGACAAAACAGAAAGAGGGGAAGGAGTTGAGGGGTACAGAGACACACGGCTTGGTTTTCTCGTAATTAGCTGGTATTTCGGCGCCTACATATGTGCACAGGAAACCGTGCTGGACCCTAGGGGAGAACCAGGAGAGCTATCACATTGCTCCTTTAAAGAGCTTGCAGTCTAGTGAGAGATGAGAAATACCCCGATGCACCACTGAGTAAAGGTCATGAAATCTGGGGAAGGAGGGAGGTCACCGATGAGTGATATTTCTCTGGCCAGGATTACACACGGGCTGGAGAGACAAGTGGAGCCCCCGGGCACTCTGACCATGACTGCGCCCCCTACAGGGGGACACAGCCTCTCAGACCCAGTCCCACGGGTGTAAACAGAGATCCCTGCAGCTGGGAAGCAGCTTCGTCCCCTTCATCAGGCATCACCTGGGAACCCGTTCTCCCTGGGACAGCCCGTTGTCACTGGCTTTGCCAGGCTCACAGTCTTTTTGTCTCTCAGTTTCCCCTCACTCTTTTATTATCTCTGCCAATCACAGAAGGCCCGCCTTGCCAGGATCCGTGTGGCCAAAACAGGCAGCTCCAATGCCTACCTGCACAGCAAGCGCAACGGACTTCTCAACGAGGCGCTGGAGTTGATGGTAGGTGCCCGGAGGACCAGGGGTGAGGAGACGGAGGGAAGACGGGCTTGTTCTCTCGCCCCGGGGGCACCGGCTCCCTCACCCCAGAGCCCCAGTCTGAGCCCTGACTTCTCAGGCATGTTTCCAGACTTTCTGCAGGTAGCAGCCCCCTCTCCGTGTACCTCTCCCGAAGGATGATCATCACTACCCCTAAACCAGCTTTAGCTCAAAGGCCCCCAGCCCAAAGGCTAGCATGTTCTGGGGTTTCCCTAGAATTTGATTCATTCAGATTTTTCTGGTCCCTCCTACCCTCTGTGGAGAAGTAAAGGAGGTGGAGGGGAGAAGAGCCACCAGCTGCACACTCAGGCTCTCTTCTCGCTCACTAGGGCACCCCGGAAGAGGAGCACATGGGCAAGACCGCCTCACTCATCGAGAGCCAGCACCATCACCTACTGCACTGCCTGGAGAAAACCACTGTGAGTCCCAGCCCAGTTCCACCCCCTTTTCTCGTCCCTGACCCCTGACCCTTCTCCAAGGTCAGAACATACAGAGTGAGAACTCTGTACTCACGTCCTCATGCTGGGCCCAAGCTTCAGAGGTCAAAGTCTGTCTCCCTCAGTTCCAGAGTAGTGATGAGGTCTCCATCTGCCCTCAGGAGGAGGACCCCAAGGAGTGGCGCCAAGTCACCAGGGGAGGGACGCCAGCTCTGTCCTGCAGCAGCACGGAGCAGGCCATTTCCTCCAGCCTTTCCACACACCCCTACATCGGTCCCCATGGCCGGTTTCTTGGTTCCCAAGGCCTAAGGGCTCTGCCTGTCAAGTTTCTCGGTTCTGATGGGCAGTCCCTCCTCAGTCCCGGGGCTGACTTTGTGCTAGATTGCCACGGGATAGCAGAGAAGAACGCCAGTTCTTGCCCTATCCCTGGGGCTAGGTTGATGCAATTTGTGGGTCCTTTTGCTCCTTACACTCCTCTTGGAATGAGAGACAGTGAAAGAAGGAGGCAGTGCAGGTATTTCTCCAGCCAAGGATGTTGTCAGTACCACCCCATCCTAGTCACCCAGCTGTTCGCAGGGAATTCCGAATCTGAAAGGCTTTTTGTTAAAACAGAGTCACGGCTAAGGGGGCCACAGCTGGAATGTGGAATGACGCTTGTGCCTCACCAACAGGCTGGAAGGAAGGGCAGTGGGGCCAACCCTGGACCCTTGGCAAAAAGTGTTAGGAATAGCAGGGGAGGGAGGAGAAGTCAGGCTGGACAACCAAAGAGAGACAAAGTGAAACTCTTTCCTGTTCCTTTCCAGGCCCTCCCTCTCCAGAAAGCCTATATTCAGGGCTCAGCTCCTGAGGAAGGAATTCTTTGATTCTCAGTGTTCCATATCCTGGCCTCTCAGATATGGGAGGAACAGATGTTAGATGACTCTTAATATGAGCTAAATGTGGACACTATGGATGGCAGCTGAACCCCATGAGAGCTTACAAAATGGGAAAGCACTCTAAAAATCTTAGTTTCCAGGATTTATCAAATATCTCTTAGTGTCAAGAACTGTATAGTATATGTGTATCTAGAATTTCTCTCCAAGACTCAGAGCTTGCCAAAGAAATAGGCCTGGACCCAACTGCCCTTTCCAAGTTGCATGTGCTGGGTGGAATGTATACAACTGAAAGGAGATGGGTAAAAATATTTGGGTTTGAAGGGCTGGAATGTTGGCATTGAAGAAATGAGATTTTGGAATCCAGGGGTGGAATGCTGGCATTGAAGGGGTGGAATGCTGAGTCTGAGGGAAAGAATGTCAGATTGTGGGGATACTGGGATGGAAGAGATGGAATGCCGGACTTCAGGGGAGGAATGTGGGACTCAAGGGGTGGAGTGTTGGGACGAAGGAGGGAGAATGCTGGGAGCAAGGGATGGAATGTTGGACTAAAAGGGTGGAATGCTGGGACTGAGAGACTGAATGTCAGAACTGAGCTTGGGAATGCTGGAATGTACAATCAATGGTGTTTTTATCTTCTGTTGGCATGTTGTCCTGTAGGGGTTGTCCTATCTTGTGGATGATCCCCTGTTATCTGTACGAACCTCCACCATCAAGGTATAACTTTTTAAAAATTCAATTGATGTTTTCCTCTCTGATTCTTCTAAGTCTGTGGAGTCTCCTCTTTTACCCCTGGTCTGGTTCTCTGCATGTGCTGTTGATTCTTCTGGGGCTTACCCTACCTCTGCTGTCACACCCAGTACCAGCTCAGGTTTCTTTTCTTTTTT